GCTAATCAAGCTCTTACTAGGCATACTAGAAAACTAAAGGCAGGTGTGTTGAGGCAAGTTGGAGCTAAACTCTGCAGGACACCGGCCCTCCAGGACCGAGTTTGGGCACCCCTGGCCTAGACCCTAAAAGCATAGCACCTTAAAGGCCTTAAAGCACTTGAACCCCGGTAATCGCTGCTTGCAGCTATATTTCACATCATCTCTCTCTCTCTCTCTATATATATATATATTAATATATTATTGTTGTTTAATATACTGTAGATAAACCCAATAGGACTATGGGAGGTCATGAATGTCATGTATTTAAGCATTACTGGAAGAATCGTTTTAAATTGATTACTCAAATTATCTCATTAATTGTCAACCAATGATATTGCATTTATTTTTGCCCCCAAATATATATTTGTTAAAAGAACTAGTTTGGTAACCATTAAAAAACTGGGAAGAAAAAAAGATAAAAACAAATAAATAAATAAAAAATTCACTTTAACAAGACACTTTCCTTCCCATTACATTCAAATATCAATGCAACTCACCTGTGCCAGATTGTAAAGAACTGCATGTTTGGTTGCATCTTTGTTGGCTTTTCTAGCCCGCTGTTGTCTCTTCTTTAACCGCCAATACTCTCTCTTTCGTTGAAGCTCATCACTTTCACTAAGCTGCTGCTCTTGCAAGGCCTGTGAAGGGCAGGACTGCTTGGGATCTGCTCCATCATCACTGAACTTCTGAGTTTTTCTGCACTGAGGTTGCAGAGCCACTGGAGAAATGGCACGACTTCTATCTGTAGCCACTTGACAGACGTTATGAGACTTATAATGACTGGTGTCTTCAAAAGTGAATGCCTGAGGACTCAATTTGATATCTTTAAGGCTTGTGTCCTCTGAGAAGTCACACTCTAATGAGACATTTTGTTGTAAGTTAAGACTTGGCTTTGCATCTTCAGATGTAAGAAGGTCATCTTTAGTCAACGGAAGAGACTCATTTTCACACTTAACATGCATTTCGTTGGCATTATTTTCTTCTGGTGTGTAAACCGATTCCTCCAGGAGCTTTTTCATGGAGGCCTGAAGAGTGGTGGCATAATGGTCCACAGCTACTGGAGGTTCAATGTGTGACTCTAAGGATGGACAGGGTGAAGGTTTGCTGTCTTTAACACTGATGCAGGGAGCAATTTCTGGGATGGAAAATACAGCTTGTATAGTGGGATAGACGTGTTCTTCTTTTATAGGGGTTGGGGCACTGGTTGAGGAGTCACAAACTTTTGTGGCAATGGATGAAGTAATACTGTGCCTTTGGTTTGACTTCTTGTTTTGCTCTCTCTGCTTTAACACTGAAATCTTTGACCTAAGTAGAACATTCCCAAGTCGGGCAGCTCGGCTGGCCCTTTGCTCTCGTTTCTTTATCCTCCAGTACTCTCTCAAATGGGCGACTCTGTCTTCCTCTGTTGGGGTTTCAGACTGGATGGTGACTGTCATACTGCCCATAACTTCACCTCTGGTTAACCTAGACTTTAGAGAGTTTTGGTGAGCATTAATACAGTTACTGGAAATGTTGCATGGAGCAGAACCTAGCTTTGTGGCTGGTTGATCATCTGAATATAGGGGTGAATTTACTTGAACCTTGAGTTTTACCTTTCCAATGCATTTCACATTGGAAATGTCTTGACTTGCAGGTAGGGAAGCTTCAGGAGATGTCTTCGAAATAGAGACTGTCACCGTGCCATCTTCTTTGATAAAACCACCAATGGTATCTGAGTAAATTGCAAATGCACTTGCTTTGCTAACTTGAACTCCACACGCCTGATTGAAGCTGTTGTGGTAGTGTCTCCCCCGATGCTTTAGTGCATCTCGTTCCTTCAATCGTGTTTTCAACGCCCTAGACAACCTTGCTCTCTGCTCACGCTTTTTAATTCGCCAGTACTCTTTCTGTCTGGCATGACGATCTTCGGGAGACACAACTTTGGAGGTACCAAGGGCAGATTTCCTCATTTGGTTTTGACAACGTCTCATTTGAGCATGTGCAAATTTCTGTACTTTGGATTTGGATTTACTTGAGGATGATTGCAAAATACCACAGGATAAGGATGCATGGTTTGGTTTAGTACCGTGAACATGTAGTTGTGTTATCTGAGAACCGTCAAATTTGGCTCCCAATGACTGCTGATTGAGGGATACAAGATTTGAGTTGAGGCTGATTCCTCTCAAGGCCTTACTGTTAGCAGGAGACGAAGCATGCATGATACCAACAGATAAAGGTTGTCCTTGTCCGAGACACCCTTCTTGGTCCCGGGCCAGTTTTGCAGCACGCTTTGCCCTCTGTTCTCGCTTTTTGATACGCCAGTGCTCTCTACGCTTAGCAACCATCTCTTCTTCAGTCATAGTCACTCCCTTGTTGTGCTCTGAAGCAAAGGCACATGTTCTTCTCTTAGTGATAGGACTGTGAACGAAACTCTGGATTTCATGAACCTTGCATTCTGAAGAGGTCAAGGGTCTAAGAGAGTTCTGAGGCTTATTTTGGTTTCTGTGCACAGGTAAAACTATGGATACATGGCTTTGCGGAGATGCTGCTAATTGCTTGCCATTTAGGGATAACATTCCTGTTTTTGTTTTTTGAGCATGAGCACTGTTTGGATGCAGCTCGATGCATGTTGTAGGCACAGAATGGACTGTAGGGCAGACAGATTCAACTGTTGTAGCATTTGTTTTTGATGACCCTGTATCTGAGGACTTTATTTTTTTATTGCCCATTACACCCTTCAGGGAATGTGTGCTTGTTTCTGGTAACTGAGGTAAGACATGGTTGAGCTTGGTCTGTTGAAACCAGCTGTCTTTTTGGCATGGCACCACAGTAATATTACTCTCAGATACTGATAGACCTGAGCTGACGGAGTTTTTAGGAGCATCAGCATCTTCCTGTTTGAATGAAACATCATGATAATGTAGAGAGGGATCATTGCTGGCCTCACTAACAACAGACATGCACAACCCCAGATTTTCATTTCCTATCTTTTTGGTAGACGACTTTCTCGCCCTCTGCTCTCTTTTCTTGCTCCTCCAATATTCCCTTTTGCGGGCGAGAGTGGCATCATCAAACTCTGCTGCTGGTTGATAACGACGTTTAGAGGAAGTCTCGCTGGACATGGCTGATGTTTGGTTACACCATCATTATACTGTTGATTAACGTCAACCGCTGAAGTAAGTCTTCTTAGGCAGGGAAAAACCTTCTTTAAACAGGATATCTGTGGGGTCACATCTTTAATTTATGTGAAGCAGTCTCTCAAGGTCTTTCTATTTAGATGGATTTTGCATGCAGTGCTTGAGTCATACTGTTCATTTTTCTGAAAACCAAGAGTAGTTGACCTTTAGGGGAAACAAAAACGCATAATTAATAATTGATCTGATGAATGATGAGAGACATTATCAACTCATGTTCATTAACTCAAACCAATCGACTATCAGCTTGAGGCTACACTTCAGCAACAATAAAATGAAAATAAAATAAAATCAGACTTTATTTTCAACAGAAACCAATTGCAATAAAAATCGACTTGGGTTATTATTTAGAACAGAAAAATAATCTTACACATAATATTACTCAAGTAAGTATATTAGGTGAAAGAGTTTCGGCGGACAAAAAATGTTTTAGAATGCCTGCATTACCTGTATATAAGAAATAATGTGAATTTGTGCATTTTAATGTTTGAAAGACAAAAGCCTTCCAAAACTATAGTAATACATGGTTAAATAACTGAGTGATAACTGGTAATCAGTAGTTGATGCAATGTTGAAGCACTTCTTAAACCTGAAATGATAAATCCAGTGGTGAAATTCTGAGTAGCCGCATGACTAGTCTTTGTGTGAATGTCCACAAAACTAGAAGACTTACTGAATGTATACAAACGATAGGCTGTTTTTAGAAAGAAACATTTAAAAGATGAAAAAATTATGATTAATTTATTGTTATTGTGTGAATAATATGCATGGATGTAATCATTAAAAAAGTAACTGTAGTCTGATTATTTTATAATGTAATGTAATACGTAATTCAGATTACATGTAATCAGTTACTTCCCAGCTCTGGACAAAGCGATGGCAGCGCGTGTTTATTTATATCAAATTTATATTTAAAAAGCATCCTAGCAAACACTGGAGGGATTTTACTGAACAAGCTGTCGCTGTCTCTAGTCTATGACAGAGACAATGTTGTCTTCCTGATCTGCGGTCTGTGTGTCTAAAAGCGCGTGGACTGTCGTGTCTTTATAGCAAAAGCACTCGGCGTCGTGACAAACACCGAGTGCGCGAAGCATGCGTTAGTTTTTTTACCTGGTAGTGTCACCTAACTTTCTAAAAGCTCAACCTCAGGACACTGCAGTCGCTTCCCGTTGCAGCCTTTCTTTCTATCGGTGACTTGACAACGTAAAAGTACCAGGATGTAGGAGCTTACAGCATGTGCCTGGACTGATATAGGTCTTAATTAGCAGTAGAGTCCATCCTTCAATAAGAAAACAATTACGTTTTGCATTTAAAGAACAGGCGATATGAATCATATGCGGATTACTTCTTTTTTCGTTTTCTAATTTTTAGTTTTATATTTAATATATTCAGTATTTAAAATGACCGGTACACGAATAACATTATGACTGGCTTTAGCAAACGTGTGACCAACTTTTACATTGCTTTACTGAATACTTGAATACCTATTCCGTTTTTAAAAATTCCATTTATAATAAAAATAGACAATGATACATAAACAAATATGTAAGTTTCATTAGACTGAATGTACAATTTTATTTCCCAGAAATGTTAAATAATAAAATAATAAATCTATCAGGCAAAACTAGAAAATATAATATATTTAATCCTATTTTATAATTAATTTATTAATAAAATATTAAATGTTATGTACAAAATGCATAATTTGTTTACAATCTTATGTAAAATATAAAATAAAACATTTAAGATGGGCCCCATGGTGCACCCGTCACTACATCACAGCCGCTACTGTCTCTTTAAATTTACCCAGGAGCCCCTAAAGGAGCCCCAGGGGCCCCTAGCTCGGCTCTCCACCCTGAAGACAAGCAGAACATCTAAATACAAACAGGAGACCGCTTAAAGTCACCGACCATTTGACAGATCTGCACTCCAACTTCGATCTAAATGCGACTCGTATCGTCACGTAAAGTTAAGTTTACTTAAACCAAAAAGCAAACAGCGGTGAGGCTTCAGTGCAGAGACAGACACTGCACACACTGTAATGGGTGAGTGCGTGTTTCAGATATTTAGTCAACCACCCGACGAATGCATCTACGAAATCCTCCGGTTGTGACATTTCTACGTACAAAAGGTGCGAATCCTTTACGTTAAAATATCATAACACAGGTATGGATGAAGCGGAGTCCAAAGAGTCGGTGCACAAAGCTGAGCAGACAGAATCTCGCTCATTAATAATAAAAGCTGAGGAAGAGGAGGCGACACCGCAGCGGGGACACTTGGGGGACCTCTCAGCAGGTAAATGTTGTGTTAGGCATTTACCTTTGACCATTAGATCGATGGCTCTCTTTTGGAAGCGTTAAAACCCGTGACGAACAATAGCACGCAGCTGCATGGCCCCTAATCTTTCGGGCTCCACTATAAACAAAGGCAAAATAACCATGCTGCATATGTATACGCGATGCACTATTACCACCTAGCGTAAATACGGCGGTACAGCACCACGCCGCCGCCCCCTTCTTGTGCTAAAAATGGGCCTGCGGAAACACCACATTTTCACTTTGTTATTCATTTAAATCGTGCTAAATTATTATTGCGTTAATATTTTTCTGAAATAAAAAAAATATATATATTTTCAAATTACCAATATTTGAGATTAAATATTAATCAGCAACAGGCTAATGTTAACATGAAAATACTATCAGTAGAAGTTGTTGCAGTAGTAGTTGTAGTAGTAATAATAATTTGAATATATGCTGACAGATTATAATATACATTTTATAATTTTATGACAAAATGTTTAATACATGTATTATATTGAATATAAATAAAATCGTTTGTATATCACAAAATACAAAATATTTGACATATTTTAAAATACAAAATAATTAGCATGTTTTCCTTTTTAGTTAACTTTAGTTACAAAATTAGAATGACATAGGCTATAAGCAACAGACTAATGTTAAATTGAAAATACTATTAATAATATATGAATATATAAATATATGCTGACAGATTAATTGTTTATGCACAAAATTGACTTTAATATTGATTTAATTTCATCATGACAAGTAATTTTTTATATTTTTCTGAAATACAAAATGATCTGCATATTTTCGAATTAAGTTACTAACTTTGTTGTCTTTTGAGAATGATTTTAAGCCTATCAGTGATAGTATTAAAATTAAAGACTAGTATTACTACTTCTACTAGTACTACGACTAATAATAATACTTTAGGTATATTTAAGTAATAACAATAAATCATTTTTTGTCCAATATAACATGCACATATGGTATGTTCTGAATATATTCTATACAGATTACTTTTAAAGCATTTATGTAAAAAAAAATGGCTGGTTGAAATACATTTTCACTTTAATATTCATTATCATTTCATATTAATCTCCATTATTTTATATTTCCCTGTAATTTAAAACAATGTAACAGTCAAATTTGACCTTACACTTCATCAGTGACATTCTCTTTTTGTGTCCTCCACAGGTCAAGAGGACGTGACCAATGGTCTCACATCTCATGACAGCCAGGACGCTCCTGTCACCTCTGTATGCTCCCCAGGTACCAATTACTGGTGTGTCTCTGAGAGTGCAGACTCGCCTTTCCTTCTGTCTCCCATCCCAGGACCATCTACAAAGGACCCCCCTCCAGTAAAGCACACACCTGGCCGAGACCACCGGCGCTATTACCATGAATACTGGCGCAGCGAGTACCTCATGGACTTCGACCCACAGAGACGAGGGATGATCTGCATGGTGTGTGGCAGTTCACTGGCAACCCTGAAGTTAAGCACCATCAAGAGGCACATCAATCAGAAGCATCCGTACTCCCTGCTGTGGACCGAGTCAGATAAAGATGTGATCCGGTCGGGATGGGAGAGTCATTTGAATCGAGAAAACAGCCAGGGGCCGTCATGTCCCACTCCAGATATTCCTCCAGAGTCACAGGAGATTCTGGATGTTAACAGGCACTCCGCAGGTCTGTGTTTATATTTCTTGGTGCTTCTGTGTGAAGTCTGAATCACATGAAACCCGACAAAACATGTCTTACTTTTCACCTCGCAAAAATAAATATCAATAATATAATCATAATAATGATATTTTGCTGAAAGAAATTCAAACTATTTTGGGGAAAATATAGATATTTTTCTATCTAATATTTTCATGAGACTCTTCTTTTTCTTTCTTTCTTTCTTTCTTTCTTTTTCTCAATCAAGCATATTCACCCACCCTTTAGTAAAAGACAAAAAGACATGGTGATATAAAAATAAATATGCTAAATATAAATTTTAAATATAATTTTAAAAGTAAAGAAAGCATAAAAAGTGTTTCAATGTTTATACATCATGGTAAAAATGTTCTGCCTTTATTGTATGCTAATATTTTTACTTATTTAATTAAATAAAAATAATTTTGTCTGGGCAAGATGATTTTCATTACAGTAATAAAGAGAATTAATAATGGGAATTAAAAACATCTGGATGCAATACAGTAATGAGACCTTAACAGGAAATGTGTTTAAATCTCATGAAAATAATGTCACAATGCAAATTTGTATTGTAGCACGTTGAGTGTGAGAAAGGCACATTATAAATAAGATGCATTATTATTTTTTTCCATTTCATAACATTTTATTTACTTCAGTTTATTTTATTATTATTATTACTATTATTTTATCTCTTTTTGAGACGTTTACTTCACTATAGCACTTTGAGTGTGAGAGAGGCACATTGTTAATGAGATGCATTTATTATTATTATTATTATTATTATTATTATTATTATGAAGACCTTTATTATTCACATACTTCTAGGCAAGCCTGGTGGTTCCATCTCTCCAGTGCTTCAGGCCCAGTCTGGCATTAGCAGGGTCACGCCATCCCCTCCGACCTCCTCGGTCCAGGAGCTCCCAGGCCCCACAGCTCAGGTGATGGAGCGCTACCTGAACGACTCGCTGCACGCCTGGTTCCGCCAGGAGTTCCTGATGGAATACCAGGCGGAGGAGGGCCGTCTAGTATGCATGGTATGCAGCGGTCTGTTGCCTTCACTGCACCTGGATCACATTAAAAGTCACATGCTGGATCTGCACCCAAACTCTCTGCTGTACAGCGCTGAGGAAAAGCACTCCATCCTGCAGATCTGGGCTAAGATGCACGGTGAAGGTGAGAGACAAAACAAAACAGACAAAATTAGAGAATTTAGAAGAGTCTGTGTACTTAATACACTAAGGCCCAGTTTCACAGACGGGGCTTAGCTTAAGCCAGGACTAGGCCTTAGTTAAATTAAGATATTTAAGCAGCTTTTATAAAAATGTCTTAGAAGAAAACTTTACAGGTGTGCATCTTGAGACAGAACAATGACACTGACATATTTTAAGATATGTCAAAGCAAGATATTTTCAGTTGAGACAGCTCATACATGCATTTTAGTCTGGGGCTAGCCTTAAGCCTTCTCTGTGAAACCGGGGGAAAGTGTGTGTTATTGAAATAATAGGTTAAAAATAGCCCTAAAATGTAATGGATTTGTTGCACACACAAGGTGTTTAATTGTACAAATCAAATAAATAAAGAGCCAGATAAATGTGACAAAAAAAAATTATATATATATACACACACACACACACATATATATATATATATATATAAGCACAGACTCAAAAGGATTAAAAGTTTATATATTTTTATGTTTTGAAAGAACTCTCTTATGCTCACAAAAGCTGCTTTTATTTGATAAAAAAATATAGTAAAAAAACAATAATATGAATATTGTGAGATATTATTACTTAAAATAACTATTAAAAACCATGTGGAATAAAATAATTAATTATCTTTTTTAAATTCTTTTATGAGAAGACGAGACAACAAACTAATTCAATTAAAATCACCAGATAAAAAGACAATATATATTTATATATTTAATCTTCAGAATCTTTGGGCTTCTGTATAAAGTGAATAAAAATGTAAGTAAAAAGTATATATATATTTATACTTTATTATAAATATAATGTCCTATTGTCTCTGGTCTAAAGGTGTGATTGCTTGATTGCCAATTTTTTTAACCCTGGTAAAACAACATAGTCTTAGGTTTAGTCTGATGTTCTACATGCTTCTGTGAAACTACACACTGGTTTCTTCTCAACTTGAATACTTTTTTTTTTCTCTTTGCATTTGTCATTTGTCATGTAGAATCCCATTCTTTACAACCTCAAGTCAAATCGGAACAACATACCAAAGAAATAAACTTAGATGGTTCAGCCTCATTCATCCCTCTGAATGTGGATCCCATTCAGGGAAACTTGGTGAGCTACATAAGAGGAGATGAGAATCCACCTGACACTGGTCAGAGAGCCCAGTCTTTACCTTATTATCCCAGAAAGAGAAGACTGAAATACGGCAGCCCCTGGCGTCTCCGCCTGGATTATTTAGTGGCATACGGTCCTCCGGAAAACCCGCTCTGCTACTGTATGGTGTGTTCTGAACACATGCCTGTGCCGAGGGTCAGCAACTTCCGCAAGCACATCCAGAAGTGCCATCCGGAGACAAGCAGCCTCAGCAGAAGTGAGAGAGATGCTGTGGTCAGTGCTTGGATAAAGGAGGAGAATATCGACAAGGCTACACCGAAAGAGGATGGTAAGTACAGACAACTGTAGACACACAACATCAGATATAGAGCGAAACAAACTATCATTATTGTAAATGCCATATTAATAATTTTGTATTAAAATAAATCATCATATAAACAAAATAAACACCAGAAGTTAGAACCCAGATAGCACACGTACATCTGCAAGATGTCTGTTAAAGATCGCTTCGTGTACAAACATCTGATAGACGTCTTTAAGATGTCAGTTTTACATACATTTTAAATCATAAACATCTTAAAGACATTTTCTAAACGTCGATTTGATGTCTGATAGGAAACGCCCTATAGACATACTGCAGATGAGCAAACACTCTTAAAAAATATGACTTGCAGATGTCAAATAGACGTCTCTGTGATGTACGTGTGCTATCAGGGAACCAAAGTTCTTAAACATTTCATTAATAACATAACATCATTAAACATTTCGTCTTCTAAAAAACATTAAAAAAAAGATCAATAAATCCTGAGAAGCAAAATTGATTCTCTGAAAATTAAAGATTATTTAGCTTATCACATTAAACATTTCGTCTTCTAAAAAACATTAAAAAAAGATCAATAAATCCTGAGAAGCAAAATTGATTCTCTGAAAATTAAAGATTATTTAGCTTATCAGATAAATTTACCTTGTTTTAAGGATGTAAAGGTATTGTAGGATATACTTGATATGAAAATATGTTCATTTATGTCCTTTAAATTATATATTACATTTCACATTATATTTCAGAGGCTAAAAATAGTCAAATTAAACATTTCTCTTTCCTAGTGCTTTCAGTTAGCCTTTGCTTAGCAAGCTAAAGATTATTTAGCTTCTCAGTTTGCTAATTTATTTTGTTTAAAGATATTCAAAATATACTTAATCATGAAAATATGTTGATTAATGTCCTTTAAATTACATATTACATATAACATTGTATTTTAGAAGCTAAAAATGGTCAAATTAAATGTCTCTCTTTCCTAGTGTTTTCAGTTAGCCTTCGCTTAGCAAGCTGTTGAAAACTAAAGATATTTAGCATCTCAGGTAAATGCTTCTTGTTTTAAGTATGTACCCTGATAGCACACATACATCACGGAGACGTCTATTTGAGGTCTGAATTTACATCTGCAAGTAGGGTTGCCACCTTCAGCAAGGCAAAATAAGGGACACCCATTCAGGACGACCCCCCCCCCCAAAAAAAACAAACCCCAAGGACACAAATAATCAGTGAGGAACTCATAGCTCAACAATAAACCATGAGAAAACATGCTCAAGTATGTAAACGTATTCATAAATATATTTATGATTAATACCAATGATACATTAATAAATAGGGTCTAACATTAATTATATTAATTTATCTGTCTAATCATGTCTACAAATATAATAATTATATCTACCAAGCTCTGATAATGAATGGATTATTATATTAACAGACTATCCACATTTTAATAAAACAATAGGCCTATACCTTTAGAAGCACGGATGTGACTGCCACTTTAAAGGTATGGTTCACACAAAAATGAAATGAGTCATAATTTACCCAGGTTGTTCTAAACCTGCATAAAGTTCTTTCTTCTGTTGAACATAAAGAAGATACTTTGAAGAATGTGTCTCAAATAAACAGCTGCTGGTTGTAACTTCCAAGGTAAAAAATAAAATAAAAGATACTATCAGAGTCATTGGGGACCAGAAACAGTTTGGTTACCCACATTATTTAAAGTATCTTCTTTTATGTTCAAAAATAAATTATTACAGGTTTGGAACAACTTGTGGGTGTGTAAACGATGACAAAATTTTCATTTTTGGGTGAACTGTCCCTTTCAGACAGTCCTGCGTGAGCAACTGAAATGCTTCTCTGCAAACTGCGCGTTCATCATTAGTTACTGAACAGACACATTGATAACTTTCCCATTCAGCCCTACATCTGGAGAGTCTTGTGTTCAAATGGCAGATGTGAGCTCTAGATTAGGGATGGGCGTATTGCTCCGAGGTATCGATATATCGATACTGACGCGAGTATCGAAAGTATCGATACTCACGGACAAGACTTTGATAGGCCAGTGCAGAGACTCGTGTGTGTGCGGGATGCGGGAGAATAAAATGATTCACGGGACTCCCGCAAAATAGAAATATCTAAACATAAAATATCTAAAACAAATAAATTGTTATTCATCTATTGCACAAAAGCAACATGAACTAATATAAAATATAAACGATTAACAGGTGCAAGCATATGCAGAGTTTCTATTTAGGCTATAATACGTGTTTGCTGCGTTGAGCAATGCAGTGCTGAAATTTGCGTGCTCATGAATCCTCTCATTAAAACACGAGTTGTAGACATGGAGCTAGGCTAATTGCTAGCAGAATGCTAGCATCTTAATTTGGTTATTGGAAAGTGCGAACACTCGCGTCCTATACATACACCACACGACCCTGAGTGTCTCCGTGAACAGGAGCACAGACAGAACAAACCAGCAGGAGGCAGTGCCGTCATCTTTCTCTTTTTATTCTAAACGCAGAATAAGAACATACACAGACAAGGCCATATCGCCAAGTGCATCTCTCTCCATGACGGTGACAGCCACGATGTTTTAAACCGCGGCGCGCATGTTTAGCGCATGCTGCGCTCGTGTGAAAGGGCTTTAACGGCGCGCGTTTTTGAGATTCCGTCGCTATGGAAACAAAGACGCCAAAACCACGCGCAAATGAGCTTCTCTAATACTTCTTATGAAATTGATTTAATTATAATTGCTATTAGTATTATAAACAGTGCAAAATAGTTATTTGTTTATTCAAATATGTGTTGGCCTTTGTAAAATACGGGACAAATCGCGTCCCGTATTGATTTGTTACGGGACGCATCATTTTACCTTTAAATACGGGACGATTCCGTATTTTAAGGGACGGGTGGCAACCCTATCTGCAAGTCATATTATTTCGAGTGTTTGCTCATCTGCAGTATGTCTATAGGACGTTTCCTATCAGATGTCAAATAGACGTTTAGAAGATGTCTTTAAGATGTTTATGTCTTAAAGACGTCTATCAGATGTTTGTACACAGCAGATGCTTTCCAGATGAAGCGATCTTTAACAGACATCTTGCAGACGTGCGTGTGCTATCTGGGTAATGCTATTCAAGTTGTATTTAATCATGAAAATATGCTCATTATTGTCTTTTAAATTGCATTTCATATTTCAAAAGCTAAACATAGTAAAACACTTCTCTTTCCTAGTGTTTTCGGTTAGCGTTCGCTTATTAGCAAGTGAACAGTTTAAAAACTAAAGATTATTTAGCTTCTCACTCAGGTACATTTATCTTATTTTAAGGATGTAAAGATATCCATGGCGTACTAGCAGCTAAGCCTACTAGCTTAGAGTAGTGCTATCTGGTTAAGAAAACCTGTTTTCATTAGCTAGAACAAGATTGTTATGTAAATGTGCTTATGGTTTTGATGTCAGAATTCAACAATTTCTGCATGAAGTTGTTTGTGTTAAAGAAAAATCCTTCTGGGAATACTTTGTTTAAAATCAGTAATGATTCTCCCTTTTTTCTTTTGTTTGCCACTGAAGACTCAGAAAGTGGCCCTGTCACTACAAACGCTGCTGGTGACACTCAGGTGTCTCCTGTGAAAACCACAGAGCAAGGAGGTGAAACAGAAGACAATAATAGCACAAATATCACACCGTCAACGCAGACGCCTGCACGGCACAGGCACTACCCGGGGAAGGACCAGCGGCGCAATTACCAGGCCCGCTGGAAGATGGACTTCCTGATGGACTACGACTGCAAGAAGCACGGATTGATCTGCATGGTGTGTGGCGCTACGCTCGCAACGCTAAAGGTCAGCACCATTAAGAGACACATCCTACAAGTGCACCCTCACTCGCTGGACTACAACCCAGAAGAGAGGCAGCTGGTCCTGCTTTGCTACAACCAGATCTCAGCGCACTTTCATTCGGATGACTGTTTTTCGGGTTCGAACCACGGCCATAAAGAGAATGCTAACGGTAATGCTTATGTTAATACCGAATGCACTACGAGCCAGAGCACTTAATTGAAAGAGAAGGGTTTAGGGATGAGTTTTCGACATCCTGTTTTTTGTTTTCCTTCACTCAGGAAGTTTGTATGTTAATACCGAATGCACTACGAGCCAGAGCACTTAATTGAAAGAGAAGGGTTAGGGATGAGTTTTCGACATCCTGTTTTTTGTTTTCCTTCACTCAGGAAGTTTGCTGCGGGGTTAAACCATTTTTGTTTTGTTTTTGAAGGATGTGACATTGTTGGATTAGCCTATTGTACTTTTTGTCTCTAACAAAGTGAGTAAAACATCTGAAACGTTTTATGTTTAAAAAGAATATTTATGCTTGAATCACTTTTGAAAGTGAAACCAGAAGCCACCAATGTCATTTAAACCGTTCATTTTTCCCAACAAGCGATTTTGCTGAACTTTTTCTTTTCTGTGGATAAGCACTCTTAAATGCATTTGTACATTCATTGCTCTTTTTGTAGACTGCAAGACTGTTACTGATTCCCATGCTTGACATTTTGCATGAACAATATTATTTTATTTACAGCACTTAAAATGGGTTCTCAGTACAAGTTTTTAGGACTACGCAAACACAGTGGGAGAAAAAAAATCTATGATTTCACATACCATTTTGTCATTTTGAAAGAAAAAGCATAAATTTAATATATGGTTTACAATGTTAATGTTATATAATACTGCTTCAGTTCACCAAAAAGTTATATTGAAATAAATATCCAATGGACTTTCTGTTCAGGTAAAGTCCGGTTTCTTTTGAGTGAGATCCATGTCTCAGGGAGTGTTTTATTCATCATTCATTTTCTGCATTTATGAATCTTGGTCAGTTTGAATATTGAATTTAATCATAAAGGTGCAATTAAATGAGCAGATAATGCATGTTCTCTAATCATTAACACTTCCTTGTTGCATTTATTTAAGATATGCTGTACAGCATAAAATATGTCAAACAAATATCCTTTTTGCTAATTTGTTTCTCATCACAGAGAAATTTTGCTCTGGTCTATGACAAACAGTCATAATATCCAGTTCTCTCTTTAATCCTGTACAGAATGAACTGAAATCCTTGTGTCAGCATTGGTGTCACATGAGAACTTCTCTTTTAATGCCATTGTTTTTTTTGACCAAATGCAATATGGAGGCACTTTAGCAGTTTGGAACGTCCCACAGATCTTTTTATGGAGATTCCTGAAAAATGACACACAATCTTCTTTGTGACCACGAGGTTTGAGGTTCACACTCTCAGGGTTACAACGTTTAGGAGCAACATATCAAGAATTACATTTTAAGTTATGTACACATATAATACAATCCATTCATCACATGTATATACACCCTTCTTGGATTTAAATATCATTCCTTTTGTTTCTCTTGTATAATTTACTGCAACACCAATAATCAATAAAATATCATGTCAATTAATGTCGATATGGAAAGCCTAGTTCTTTAAATTATTAACTGAAATAAAAATATATTTCCTAAACATTTCTGGTACAAATGATAGATTCAGACAACTTTAGTTGTACATATTCAACTTTGGGATCTAATTAATGTTTACTTTTTAATGTTTTTGAAATAAGTCTCTTATGATCACCAGGGCTGCATTTATTTGATGAAAAATACAGTAAAAACAGTAATATTGTGAAATATTTGTACAATATGTTTTTCTATTTTAGTATTTAAAATGTAATTGACTCCTGTTATGGCAAATCTGAATTTTCAGCATCATTACTCCAGTCTTCAGGGTCACATGATACTTCAGAAATCATTCTAATATAATTTTCCTGATTTGGTGCTCAAAAAACATTTATTATTATCAGTGTTGAAAACAGCCGTTTAATAATATTGTGTATTTTTGAGTCACTTTTGATCAAATGAATGCGTCCTTGCTGAATAAAAGTATTCATTACTTGAAAAGAAAAAAAAAATCTTATTTCAAATTTTTGAATGGTAGCGAATATGAAAGACTAGTTCATGAATCATTCATGAGAAGAAGAAAAAAAACAAGCACTACAAATGCTTTTGTCATTTTTATTAAGTTCACTTTGACATCATTACAGGGACCACAAGTTTTCCTGTTTGCATCTTTTCCCCCCCGAAACTCCCACATATTAACTTAATTCAAAACTAACAAACTGAATATAGATGTTAGTCATCACATCTAGTCTTCAAGAGTCAAAAGCAAAAAGAATGTGACCTCCGTCAACCCTTCTCAGAGAGAAACACAGGAAAGAAGAAACCGCAAACATGCTAAGGTGCTACAGGAATAAGTTAAAAAAATACCCAAATATTAAACTGAACCTCCGAAGAGAAGAAAGCAGATAATAACCTAAACAGAGAGGTCTGCATCTATTAAAAAAGTAGCTATATAGTCATAATTTATCCTTAAACTGAAAAACAATGTGGTAATACAAATTGTCAGAGCTTGACCTGTTCTTCGAAAGCAACACTGCACATGTGATCTCACCTGTAGAACATGCTAGTTAAGCAACACAATGACTAGACACTTTCGTCTGAATCTGGTTGTGTGCAAACATGCATACAACACAAAAAGGGTGTGAGAGAGAAAAAAAAAATTCCTGAAATGAAGAGCAAATCAAAATATATTAGAAAGGGGCGATAAAAATCACAAAATAAACTTTTAAAATGTGATGGAACTTGTTAGTGTTCAACATTTTCGATGCTCTGCTAAACAATTTTCCAATGTGGACAAGCTTCCAACTGCATCAGCTGGAATGTGAAGCGAACAACGCAAAACCATCAGGAGCTGACAGACTACGTAGTAACAAAGACACCAATATGAATGTGACTATTGATATATGGTAGATAAGACATTTATCAAGTTGTAACTGTGCGCATAAATGCATTTGCGTGGACTGGCGCTGCTTTTAAACACAGCGGCCCACCTAAAGCCATTTTTACTATTTTCACTAACTATGTTACCCTTCCCTTTCAGAATTAAACTCACCCTTGTAGTTGTATCCTAAAAGCCAACAGTGCTTGCAATGGAGTTTCGAATTTTAAGGAAAAACAGTGTTACCACATATGATTAGTAAGTATAATTATCCAGCTTAAATAATAGTTCTTTGTAGCCTTATTAAATATTTAAACTTTTTCAGTGCCCAAGGTGGTAAACGATGCCCCGAAATGCTGACAAAAAAAAACTGTTTTAATCTGGGTCTGTGGAAAGAGCAAAGAGAGATTTTGTATTGTAAGAAACTATGACTGTAATATCACTATTAAATAATAGCCTTCTGAAGTATAATAAACACATTAAGTTGTATTGCGATTTTTCTTTTTCTGTCCCCAAATTTAAGACCTCATGAAATTGTAATGAAACTTTTCTTATATCATTTAAGATATTTAAGACTTTTTATGGCCTTAAATTTGATATAACTGAATTTAAGACTTTAAGGACCTGCAGGGACTCTGTAATTATACAGAATATTTAGTGAGGTCACTTGTGTGGATAAAAATATGTCTTGCTGGAAAACACTGGCCCCGTTTCAACGAAAATCGATGGCCAACTTCACATCAAGCAGAAAATTATTGCCTTCCTCTCCTATATTCTGGCGCTCTGACGATCCTATACATAAAACTCAATCTTAAGGTTATTAATATTTGTTACAAAGCCAATGTCAGACAGGGGACTTAAAGCAGCCATCCTAATCAAGATATAATAACCGTTATTTGAAGAATAATAACAATAACATTTACATGTCAACTCAACTCAGATGACTGAGTGCAAGAGGTGCGAACGAGACATATAAGAGCTGTATATTTGATTTTTAAATATAAAAAGCAACACTAACTACTTCACAGCAAAGAGCCTATTGTAATCGAACTATATATACATACACAAAATTAAAAAACTGCACCAATAACAGGGAGGATAGTGAACTAGACCGAATCATCACTGCTGCTATAGCGTCCCGATCCATCCTGACTGATCAAAACATGCAAGTCTAATAATGTTCAGTGCATTTCAGATGAATACATACACATTTTTCGAAGAAAAAAAGGGGAAAGCATGTTTCATAAGGTTCTCTCTCTCTCTTTTTTGTTTAGTTTAAATATTTTTTTGTCAGCATTTTTCAGTGAAATGTTCATTTTTTTAAAAGTACAGACATTTGCTTTTGAGTCAAACACCTGTCTTTATTCATTACTACAGCACCACCCATCCCAACACTCAAAACCAAGTCATAAGTTCAGTCTAGTTCACAAATCCTTCCGTGCACTGGCCATCAAAATGGGCATCCAGTAGCATTACATCACTTTTTGTGTTGAAAAACACCAGCTCCTGGTGCCCCGAGCTTCTTTTCTTAATGCTCATTAATAAGCTGCAGAGTTAACATTGAATATCAAGAAGCTTTTTAGATTTTACATACTAGCTGGTTCAGTGCAGATGGTTGTTTTAAGGTGTGGGGTTAAATAGGGAAAGATAGGAGTAGGGGGCGGGGCTTAGTGTAAGGGGAGGTGGCTAAAGATAGAAGGATGGTAAACATGGTAACGAGGGATCGGAGAGGAGCATCATTCTGCTTTACAGCGCTTCAACGATCCCGGGAGTTTCTCTTGTAGCCTAAGGAGAAAAAAAACCCCAGACAAACACCCATTAGGTGGCAATGTTACTATGTGGCATCAAGGTCTCACTAATTGGCAGCCATTTCCAAGACTCAGCTCTTTATAGATAAATAGCATGCACAGATGGTATTTCTTACTGTATTACTCTACTCAAAACATAACTCACTTGGCAATTGTAGTGTTGACTTGAGTGCGTGCAATGTCAATGTAATGGTCAATCTGGGTCTGTGGAAAGAGCAAAGAGAGATTTTGTATTGTAAGAAACTATGACTGTAATATCACTATTAAATAATAGCCTTCTGAAGTATAATAAACACATTAAGTTGTATTGCGATTTTTCTTTTTCTGTCCCCAAATTTAAGACCTCATGAAATTGTAATGAAACTGATATTTAAGACGTTTTATGGCCTTAAATTTGATATAACTGAATTTAAGACTTTAAGGACCTCCAGGGACTCTGTAATTATACAGAATATTTAGTGAGGTCACTTGTGTGGATAAAAATATGTCTTGCTGGAAAACAGCCTGAATAGTCACAAATTATGTGTCAGATCAATGTATATGCTGTTACCATTAAACATTTTTGTTACTAAAAATAAAATAAACAAATAAAATACATTAAAAAAACTTTAAGCTTATTTAATTTCAGCTAATTGCTAAGAAAACATATTTTTTTCCATGTACATGTACTATAATAACAAAGTGAGATAAAATAAATAAAACACAATATGTTTCTTTTGAACTTTCTATTCACCAAAGGATCCTGAAAAAAATGTAATGCAGTTTCCAAAAAGAACATCAAGCACTGAAGACTGGAGTAATAGCTACTGAAAATTCAGCTTTGCCATCACAGGAATAAATTACATTTTAAAATATATTAAAATAGAAAACAGTCATTCTAAATTATAACAACACTTCCCAATATTACTGTTTTTACTGTATTTTTGATTAAATAAATTAAGCCTTGGTCAGCATATGAGGCCTTAAAAAACAATAACAAATCCTACCAACCCCATACTGGTAGTGTGTTATTAGGGGCCAAGCACTGAAGGTGTGTAGTAGACTTGTGCTGGTATTCGGTAATGCGATATATCACGGTAATGAATATGCACGATATTGTTATCGTGGGCACATTTGAATGCATTTTAAGAATACTTTTCCCATCAACTGGTCAAAATGCACAACACCGCTGTACGCCTGCGCACTCTGATGTAAACAAG